AGGGCATTTCAAAATTGAGAAAAACAGATTACAATTTAGATCATGGATCGTGATTGCAAAAATAGATCATGATATTGTTTATTGCCTAGATTGCCCTCCCTTATCTCAAAGAACACTAAAGCTGTCTGCTCAATGTGTGGACCTGTTTGTATGGACGGAGTATTAGGGCCTGACGAATAAAGTGCGTTAAGCATTAGCGAGAAAAAAGTCGTAATATTACGAGAATAAAGTCATAATGATTAGGTCTTACGAGAATAAAGGTCGTAACATTACGGAGAAAAAAAGTCGTAATATTGCGAGTAATAAAGTCCGTAATATTACGTTAATGAAGTCATAATATTGTGAGAATAAAGTCGTTAATATTACGAGAACTAAAGTAGTAATTTTATGAGAACTGTCAGCCTGTTGGCTCTGTCAGCAAAACTGTTTAACGACGAAATGATCAATATGTTAGCTTACCTGTTGACTGTACGGTACGACTGAGACCTCCACCTTGCATCAGTGTATGAATGTGTGTGAATGTATGTATGTGTGTGCATGTAGTGTACAGCGCATAGAGTGGTCGAAAGACTAGAAAGGTGCTATATAAGTACAGTCCGTTTACCATTTACCATAATATGTGAATGTTGTGTTTATAGCTTATTCTGCTGCCCCTAGCGGCCAATAAATGCAGCTTTAAAATCGTCAGTATTGTGTAAATAATCCAGTGACACAATGTTAAAGGCTTTTTATCAAAGGTTAGTTACTAATAATGTTGGGTCCCTTTAATGCAAGCATCATCATCTATACTGTAAATGTGTTAATACAGTCTATGTTTACAGCTGACCTAAAGCTTGGATATAAGCTTATTTAAGCTTTGACAGTAAACAGGCATGATTTACAGATGATACATGTTTATGATAAATTTCATGTCTCAGTGTGTTCTCATGCTGCTGTTTACCTCCTTGTTGTAGGTCTGTAGAGCCGCCAGAGCACTGTCTTGCTCTCCCGTCTCCATTTGCTCTAAGATGGCATTTAAATCCATTTTCATCGTCATTGAGCTCTCCGCAGCTTCCTCCTGCATCCACCGTCAGAGCAGCCCTCCGTGTGTTTGCCACTGAGACACGCTATGGTTTGACACCACCCACAGATGACCGCATGATGTCTGAATCCCTGCCAGCCGGTAGAGGCGATTAACGGAGAGGATTTGTGCAAGCCAAATGCTGCGTTCAGGTGTCCCTAGGAAAGACTAACAAAACTGATTTCCAGATTAAATTATTTGCATATCAGTTAGAAATGTATTTCATCTTAACTACGAATTTTGATAATAATAAAGAGAATCATCTTCATAATACTGATTACAACCTTTAAGTGTAGGCCTATATTTTTTTCAACTGAGACATTAAATGTCTCATAGACTTAGCTGTTTGTGTTTGTTTCAAGCATGTCGCTATGTATTGAAGACATTTAGGGGGATTTTATTTTATAGATATAATATGGTATGTTTAAAGTAATAATCACTGGAAAGGCTCTGCTACACTAAATGGAACACAGCCATAATTGACCCTTCCTAAGTCCCACCCCTTTTTGCTCTGTGCTCCAATAACAATTGAGCAAGCCTCAGTCAGAACCTCAGTCAACTTCCTCCTTTCCTGCACTTAGATAAGCTATGTGCTAGGCTCATCTATGTTGAAAAGACAACCACATCTTAAAGATGGTTCAAAGATAAGACACATGTGTAGTAACATCATTTGGTAGCTAGTTAACGTTTGCCAACTATATGTATAGCTTTTGTTTTTTTAACTTTATTTACAAAATGTTGTCTTTTCAACATAGACACACATTTTGAATACTAGAGAAAAATAAGTGCATTTAGCAGAAGGAAGAAATTCAGCAAATCTTTTTTTTAAGAATGAATGCTCTACGGAGTCCGCCATGTTGAGCCACCATGTTTCTACTGTCAGCCCAGAGCAGACAAACCAAATACTGGAGTTTCACTGCCACCTTAGTTTCTGCTACATGCTTGGAGAAGCAGATGTGTGACAATTTAAAGGAAAAACCAACAGAAACCTACACTGGAACCCTCTCATTCTCCCAAAGTAGAAGCCAACAATGTGGGACACTCGCAGGACAGAGCCATCATACTAAAAAAAACTGTGCTTTTCTTTGATAGACTGAATACAAACATGTCATCTAAAATGACTGAAATGGTTAGGCTAAATTCATAAACCATCAGATTAATGTTATCAGCTGCCTTTTTAAACCTGATGAGATGGAACTGATATGATGACTTTTTTATGTATAAGTTAGGCGATTTGGTTGATTAAAATAATGTATTTTTGTTTACTTTACTTTTTACCTTTTTGTTGTATCAAATGAGTAAAATGTGTCAGTATCCGTAGTTTCTGTAAATAGTTCTCTTACTCTTGTGATCAAAAACATTACTATGAGACTCAATTGTGAGGCTGTTCTGTAAAGATCTTTCTATTAAATATAGCAACGTCCTGTTAGCCCCGCCCATGCACGAGTTAAGCCCCACCCATGTCCGGTTTAAGGTCCGCCCACTCCAAGTATGGTTAGTTGAACACATACAGATATGGATATTGGTGTGTCATCCCTAAGTATTTATATTACATCAGTTCAGGAGGAAAGTGACATCTGCATGTTTTGTCCTTAAAAGCTGAAAAGGGTTCTTTCCTTACTTCATGTTCTGTATGCTACCTGTGAATATGCATACATGCCATGTGTCATAACTGCTTTTGACTTCTTTCCTCTTGCTACTTTGGAGGTGAAACAGCATGAGCACTCCAACACTAACTAGAGAGATATTCACCCTTAGTTTGAGGACATATGCAACCCTTCCTGATCCTTGAAATGCACACACTGCCAATAGAACACTCTTTTTGGACTTGAACTCGACAGACGCCTTGAAACAACAATGTACAAGCAGCACACACAGAAGTTTTGTTAAGAGACAAACAAACGCATTGCCTGTATCAAATGGTTGTAAATATATATTGTCACAACTTTTCATTTACATGTACATGTATTAATTAGTAAGGTGCACTTAAAAAATAAAAAATCACGTATTAATATCTCAAATTAGTAGTAAAAAGGTTGCACACTATAACTGCGTAATACTGCAAATAGAGCAGTGGTTCCCAACCTTTTTGCTTAAGGGACACATTTTCTATCATAGAGTAAACTGACGACCCCTGACTAAGGGACATGTTTAATGGATATTTTATATTGTATTCAACAGTAACAGTAGAGAACAACTGATAATAAACTGAACCCAAACAGACAATACAATAACTGCAGGAAATTTGTGTGAAACGAGTGATTTGGATGCATTTTGAAAAGATTTAGAGAACTATTTATACAATTCTCTGTAATATATATTTTTAGATTTTTCACCAATCTTAATAGGGTTCTTTTTTGACAGTATTTTCTTCTAATTTTTCTACTAGCTTTTTGGTTGTTTGAACTTTCTAATGGAGGACTGCAGTGTTTATCAGAGAGTAAAGGCTCTCTGAATATAGCTTGTGTTGAGGTCTTCACTGTTCCCCTATCCTGTTTATATCTTAAATAATAATATAAATAATCTAAAACATAACCATTTCATTTAGTTTCCTTCAAGGAAATGAATGAAATATTGAAAGATAGACCCCATATATATGTATATTTTTAAAGTTGAATGTTGAACTTACACCCCTTAAAAATCAAGGAGGCATTGTGACCCCCGATGGAGCTCTGGCTCTAATGGGGGTCCTGACCCCCAGGTTGGGAACTACAGAAATAGATTGTCCTTTTTCTAATTAAACAAGAGATCTTTGTCAAATGCAAGACCATCTTTATTACTGACCTGTATTTGACTGTTTAACCTGTTCTTTATTTTGCACTGCACATACCACATAGTTAATTGTTTATACTGTACAATAAATATAACGTTATATACTGCTTTATTGTTGAGCATGGACGTTTTTTATTTAACTTGGGATCAGCGTGTGTGATAAAATGGAAATGAATTATTGCTCATACATTTTTCAACTATTGCACCTTCCGTAAATTGGGCGTTTCTCGACCAGCCAAGGGCGTGCTCGTACTGTGCGAGTTTGTTCGATTTACACCGCAAAGGAAACGCGCGAGCGGGGTCAAATGGTTTAAATTAACCGAGTGTCACCCATATATGATTATATAACACATTACATAGACTGAAATACATTTTAACTGTTTCCGTAGTGACATGAATTGTACTCAATATACACAATTCATAAAACAGTTCAAGCTCCGTCAGTCCGGGCCACAGAACATGTAAACTACCATTAAACGACGCCGTGAATTGTCGCGCTGTAGCCAATAGAAACGCGAGCCCTGGTTTGAGCGATGGTGTATTTCAACCAATAGCGTTGCAGTGACAGTTTGAGTGACAGAAGCTGTAGCTGTAGCTGTAGTGGGGGAAGGGGTCGCTGAAGTTGACGGAACCGCCATCTTGAAAAGTGCCCTCCGATGATCTACCTTTTCGCGCCTGTCAGAATCAGTTTTAAACGCTTTATTTTCCTTACAGGAATTTCGTGTTACCTCTGTTTTCGTTTTGTCAAGGCCTGGGACTAATGGCAAGATAAGCTACATGCTGGAGACTCGCCGTTGACCGTTGTCTGTCGGTAGGTACACTTGCCTTTCCATGCACTTGGTTGGTGCTGAAGAGACGGACGGTTAGCCAGCAGTCTTCAGATAGCCGGCTAACGTTAGCTGGCTATCAAGAAGCATACTTGGCCATCTTAACACTGTGCTGTCAGACACTCTTGGTGTACGTTAACATTGCATAGCAGTGCTGTTAGGAACCGTGAAGCCATGGCGATATCTAGTTGGCCAACTTGCCAATTAATGCTAGTCTCGTAGCTAACTGATGCCGGTTAACCTGACGTTAGTTATTCCCTGAAGCTAAGTTGATTTTAGGTGGCCAGTTCAGCTAACAATAGCTAACGATAGCTAGTGACGTTAGCCCGTTTGGCCGAGCCGGTGTGTTTCTGTTGCGTTCGTGCTGGTCTGTTTTGGGCCCTGGTATGTAACGTTAATTTACATGGACTGAGGTTACTGCAAACGTAGTGTTTCGACAGCAGATCGCAGATTACATTAGTCTGTGTTAGCTGATAATAGCTTGAATAATCCGATGTTTGTCGGGCATTTTAACCGAATTGAACGTTAATGCCTTTTCTGACGTTGCTCGGTTGAACTAACTGTATGTTACAGTACAGGGCCGTCATGGTTTTTTCATGGTCGTTGACTTTGCGTGCGATTGGTGGGTAGCTGGAAACTAACTTAGTGTAAGCTATGGTCACAGTTTGCCATTACCAGTGCAATCTCAGACAAACTGCGTCTTGTACAGGCTCAGTCTGTTGGAGAATTCTGCGTGTAGCGTTATATAGGCTGCAGCAGCTCCGTTGATTTAAAGCTGCAGTCGGTAACTTTTATAAAAAAAAATCTCCGAGAAAGATGATTGTGGAGTCACATTTCCAGGTCGTCAAATACTGACGCTTTGGCTTGGTGGTTTGAAAATCATTGATGGGTGAATGTAACGTTAATACACAGGTTCCTGGGTATGAGACCGAGCAATAAACTATCTTTGTTGGCTCTATGGGGTTGTTTTCATTTGAATGCGGGTGGTTAATGCTAGAGGAGCCTGATTTAGTTTGATATATCTGTCTCATGGATATAGTGAAAGGTTCAGCAAACATGACAAAAAGTTATCTACTGCGTCTTTCAGTAAGAACAACGCTTTTGTCTTTTTACTTGGGCATGCACAAACTACATAGGTTGGGGACAAATGTATCTAAATTTGAAAGTCTCTAGTTAGTAGGGCTGCACGATGGGGATATTTTATTCAGCCGATACCATAAGCGATAATGACTTGCTTCTCATGGCCGACACCCATAAGATAACACATAGTTTCACATTTCTGTATTTTAACCATCATAACCTGTAGTTTGTGTACACCGGATGTTACCTAAACCATCACTACTGTAAACACAACAACAATAAACAACAGTTCTAACTCTTCATCTTCTTTCTATTTCTGGGTAAAGTTCATCAAAAAACAGCTTTCATAGAACATACAAATATAGAAATTCAAAATATATTACTGTTTTTCCAGGCCAATCATTTATTGGCTGTAATTGAATTTTTTGCATAAGACATAATGTAAATTTCCTGCTATCTGTGCTGATAGTTGTCTTGCA